AATACAAACTCAGATATCAGTGGTGGAAAAATAATTCAGATTACTTAGGTAAAGGTAGCAGTACCACAGTGTAGAAATATTCTGTTACAAATAAAAGTCATGCATTCAAATTTTGAGTTAAGTAAAAATACAAAAGTATTAGCTTCAAAATATGCTTAAAGTAACAAATGTAAAAGTACTCATTGAGCAGAATGGCCCACTTCAGAAAAATGGATTGTATTTATTGAATTGGATTATAATTAATGGTGGTAATAATATGAAATCATCCCTTTGCAGCTGGTAAAGGTGTGTACTTATTCTGTACATGATGTACTTGACGAAAGCATCTGATAAATACCCAAAATGTAAATGTAATATAATGTAAAGGTGGGGCTAATTTTAACTACTTTATGTACTGCTGGGTCAGTTGTGACTTTTCCCCCAGGGGTCCATGAATTTTTATCATAACCTATAATAATTCATCATATTGCATTGATTATATGTTGTAGGCTATTATTAATCTGAATTTGCCAAGTAACTAGAAACTAAAGATGCCAAAATGTAAATGAGTAAAAGCAGCAGCAGTAGAAGCAGTGGCTGACTCAGGCTGTCTGAGAGGCAGGGGTAAAAAAATAAGGCCAGGACACCAGCGCACAGACAGTTGTGATGCATTTATGGGGCAATTTTAAGTGGCTCCCATTGGTTCCCTGCATCAAATTTTCTTGCGCATTGGGCCACCCTATAGGACACTTTATCAGGTTTTATCTACCATAGGGGCATCCAAGAGAGCAGTTTTCCAGCATTTTTTGGGGGGTCGGGGATACATTTAAAACAACTTACAGATAGATGATGAAGACCATCATGCTTTTTAAATGCAGACCTCTGTGTCTGTTCTTTCTAGAAAAGAAATCATTCTCTGCTATATTCTAAGAACAGTCATTTCAGGATTTAAACAGTCTTGTTGAACACTGTAGTTTCATGCATTCATTCATGCATTAGTAATCACTCAACGGTGGCTGTAGAGCTGAAAGCTACAGTGTAAGAGGTGTCTGCTTTATATATCAGAAATCAGTGGGGCAGTACAGGTAGAGCATTGGTGAGCAAGGTAATTCGTATGAATGCTGTGCATACGTGAGCAGGAGCAGCTATTGGAAGTGATGGCCTGAAGGAACAGGTAAATGTGCAGAGGGAGTTATCAGTGTTTCCAGCACCGCCTGCGAGCACAGGGAAAGCTAATTGGCTTCAATTAGGTAATGTAACATATTTCATTAGGCAAGACAGAGCGAGAGAGAGACAGTAAAGAAGGAGAGAGTGTTGGTTCCCTTCTCCTACCAATCATCTGTCTGCACATTATCATTAAGCTCATGCAGATGTATGTGCACCCACATGAACACACAAGCACAAATTTAAACGCTTTTAGTTGCTGTTATTTGCACACCTGTTTTGGTGAGGAAACCCTGATGTTCTGTCAGCAGAACAGTACCAAAAAATCAGACTGACAAGAGCATTAGATCAATTAAGTGACACTCCATGATCCTACTTTCATATGAACTATGTATCTACCCATGTGGATTTGGAGAAGCCCAATCCTGTCTTTGATGTTCCTCTTTTAACTTTATGCCAGCTCTTGTGCAACAGTTTTTAGATTTTTGAGCTCGACCTGAACTTAACGCTTTTTTTTCATAAACAGACAGAGCTCTGAATATGTGCCCCAACCAGTTGTGTACAATTCATGTATGTACATCCCAAGTGAATTACTGTAAATCAATATGAATCAAGTTCAAGATTACTTTAAAGAGATGTGACACAGGCTCAAGGAAATACAGTTATTATGTTTTGTGTTTTTGATTCAATATATGATGTGGTGAGTCAGTGAGGTGTGATAGTGATAGAGTTCCACAAAGTTCTGTTCTTGGACCAGTTCTATTCACCTTGTGCTTCCTTTAGGCAATATTATTAGGAAAAACTCCATAAAAGTGAATTGTTGTGCAGATGATTAAACACACATTTAGTTACACTTATAGCATGCCTTAAGGACATAAAAACCTGGATGACCTACAGTTTTCTGAAGGTAAACCCAGACAAAACAACAAAATATTGTGGTACTTTCAGAAAACTAGTCCATCCATTTGTTATTTCTGGATTATTGCAATTCCTTATTATCAGGCTGCCCGAATAAGTCCCTTAAGACTCTCCAGTTGATCCAGAATTCTGTTAAATCTATAATAGATAATCCTTCTCCTCACCTACAAAGCCCCTACTGGTCAGGCACCATCATATCTTAAGGAGCTCATGGTACTTTACTACGCCACCAGAACACTGAGCTCCCAGAGTGCAGGGTTACTTGTGGTTCCTAGAGTCTCCAAAAGTAGAATGGGAGCCAGAGCCATCGCCTATCAAGATCCTGTCCTGTGGATCCACGTTCCATGTTTGGGTTTGGGCGGCAGACATTATTGCCACATTTAAGAGTAGGCTTAACACTTTCCTCTTTAATAAAGCTTATACTACGGGCTTGCTCTGGTGAGCTCTGAACCATCAATTAGCTATGCTGCTACATGCCTAGACTGCCGGGAGACTTCCCATCATAGAGTGACCTCCTCTCTTTTGTGTTTTCTCCTCTCTCTCTTCTCTCCTTTTGTTGCTTTCTGCAGGTATTTCTGTAGACCTGTATGGTCTAGATCTATGGTTGCAAGCCACCAACTGCTCCCATGTTCCTGCTTGACACCCGCTGCTACAATTTTTCAGGCATTCTGACATGATGAAAAATTTCATTAGATATGAGTCACGTGGCTGTGTGGCTATAGCTTTGCTGCCCTGTTGCTGGAAAAAAACCCAGAGAAATAAAGCAAAGAATGCAATAAGACTCCTGAATTGGAAAAGGGTAAAGATCAGGGAGAGATGCCTGAAAGATGAGGATATCCTGTGAAAATAGCCTCATTGAAATGGGAGTGCAGTGAGCGAAAAGAAAAGACAAGAAGGAAGACAGATGGTTTCTATATTGTACAGATTGTAAAGCCACCAAATTTGGGATTTGTGATCAAGGCTATATAAATAAAACTGACTTGACTTGACAAAGATAGCAATACATTTGCTTGGTGTTTTACTAGTAACAGACCCTCTTTAAATATGTTTGCAGATTTTAGTACTCTGTAATTTACCAGTGCCTTCAAGGAGCTGTTGGTGGTGCATTTACAGGGGATTAAGGCTGGAGTGTGTTTGGTTGCAGATGTCTCCACAACTGTGTTAATGAAGTTTTCGGTTTACAGTATGTGTGTGATGTGATTTGTGTCCTGCAGATACGGCGCACAGGTGCCTCTAATCCCCAGGATTCAGATGCAGTGGGTAACCCATTAAAAAGTGCTGTGTCTAAGCAGGGGGTGAGGTGAAGATAACAGAGAAAGCTGATAACATGGACTTTACAGGATATGATCCAGTGAAGCTGCTAATGACTGCAATGACAACTTTGGGGTACAGGCTTGAATTTGGAGGGCTCAACTTGTGGATGGTGGAAAATATTAATGCTGGGACCCAAATTTAATACACAGCAGAGGAACTGGTACAAATGGCCCTGGAGGACTGAAAACTAGCCCTAATTATTTGTAATTGCCTGTGGTGAGCTGCCTTTGTATGAGCTAAACGCAGTGGTGGAAGAAGTACTCTAATTGTTTACTTAAGTAAAAGTAGTAGCAGCACCACTCTGTAAAAATAGGCTGTTATAAGTAATGTACAGAAACAGTACAAGTATTAAAGGCAAAATGTACTTAATGTATTAAAGTAAAAGTATTTGTTGGACAGAATTGTCCCTTTGAAAAAGTTATATTACTATATATATTGTACTATTACAATATTATTACCGATGATTTAATATGTAAGCAGCATTTTAATGTTACAGATGGTGAAGGTGGTTCACATTTTAATTACTTTGGATATTTTAATTCTAAATATATAAAGTAACTAGTTACTCCAGCTGTCAGATGGGAGGCTAAAAAGATTCTCATATGGTATCTGCAAAGTGCATGGACTTAAATTTATGTAGGTATTTGAATAGCCTGCTCCTGTTTTTTTTTCAGTCTGTGTGTCCTATCCAGATGTTCTCCAAATAGGGAAGAGATTTGTTGGTCTTTTGGATGCAGCTGTCACAGGAAATACAGACCAGCTGTTGCCATAGACCTGCTTAACTCCCCTCAAACTTTTTCTTAGGTGGTCTTGAGTTGTGCTTTATTGGATTATCTAAATGTTGTTTCTGTTTTGGTTTTTCACGCTTGTTTTCAACTGATATGGGACCGATTGAATAAAGAAAGACTAACTGATTACATCTTACGTTAGATGAGCTATAATGTAATTGCCAGATTGGCCTTTCCCCACCTCCAATTGGGCTACTTTTCATAAATCATGAATTAATCATTGATTCATGTCTTCATGCAGAAAATGATGTCAAGATGTCAACTTACAATAGCATTAGGAACTGCAGTTCAAAGCCTTCCCTTTCTACATTATGTGGCTTATTTACCTGCAGTCAGTTGATGGTCATTGCCACCTCTTGGACTAGCAAAATTTTTTGCCGTCTTTATTGTGGGTGTAATGTGCAGTCTTTCACAAGCAGCTGATGTAATTGGCATTTTATGAGCATAACATCAGATTTTATGGCATGGTTAGCTTTGCATTTTCAGGAAAAGCACTATTGTACAGCAGCAACAACACTACATTGCCGTTGTTGATTTAGCTGTAGTGCTGTTGGCAGTGCAGTCAAACACCCTGTGGAGACAACAGATTGGATAAATGTTTGTTATTAAGACTATTCATCAAGTATTACACGTCTGTGTTCAACCTGTGGATTAAACACACAAAGGAGCAGCTATGAGAAATAACTATACACAGCACAACTGGCTCTAGGCTTTTAGGACCAATAAAGACAGCGTAATGGTATTTATCTTTATGTAAAACAGAGTTGATGAATTGGTTTGGTAGGGCAAACATGTTCATGCTGTAACATATCCTCTACTCCTCTTTTTCTGTACCAGATGGGGACCACACGCTGCGGATCCTCCTCTACTCACTCATCTTCTTCCTGAGTGTGTTTGGCAACCTGCTGATCATTGTGGTGCTGACAGTCAATAAGCGCATGCGTACCGTGACCAACACCTTCCTCCTGTCGCTCGCTGTCAGTGACCTGATGATGGCTGTCTTCTGCATGCCCTTCACCCTGATTCCCAGCATCCTCAAGGACTTCATCTTTGGAGCCGCCATGTGCAAGATAGTGTCCTACCTCATGGGTGAGAGAACGGGGAGTGGTGAGGGAAAAGGGTGGTTGCTAGAGACGGTGATGAAGGAATAGTGATGAGAAGGCAAGAAAAGGTGATACACTTTGGAGGTGAAAAATAGTGGCTAGAAGAAAGATTAAGACTTATATCCTATACAATATATTTTCCACCAAGTCCTTGTCCCCTTTATCACTCATGCCTGTACTGCAATAGACACTTTAAATGTTTACAATATTGTAAGCAGCAAATTAAGGTATCTGATACATGGACACTATTTTTTTTTGTTCCATTATTAAACATTTTCAGGGCAATATATAGAGCATACATTACACACTGAAGATTTGGACATCTTATTAAATTGGCAGAGGGTCTAGTGCCCCACCAGAGAGGGAGTGATTTTAGAAACAGCTCTTGACTCAATCAGGCAAGAAGAATGATTCTTGTTGATTAGTCAAATACTTTACTCAGAGCATCAATTACATCAATCAATAACCAACCATAAATAACTACTTGTTCTCACATAGGGTTTGTTTTACCTTCTTTCATATTAATGGGCATCTGTCTTTTAAATTTGAAGAATTGAAGTGAATAAAGTTTTGAGTATCTTCAACCAAGTCCAGTTGCCCTGGATCTTCCTTGGAAAGTCACATTAAAGACATGGTATTATGCTCATTTTCAGGTTCAAAATCTTAATTAGGGGTTGTACCAGAACAGGTTTACATGGTTTAATTTTCAAAAAATCACCATATTTTTCTCTTACTGCACATTGCTGCAGCTCTTCTTTTCACCCTATGTGTTGTACGCTCCGCTCTTGAGCTACAGAGTGATGCATCTTACTTGTACAAAATCTTAGTTGGGAGTTACACATGCGCAGTTCCCAGCTAAGGACTACTAGCCAATCAGAAGCAGAGAAGGGCGGGTCGTAAGAAACAAGGTAATGTAATCCAAATCAAAGCCGCTTCAGACTGCGACCGTAACCTAGCAGATGGTATAAGTTACTCACAAGTCTAAACCACTACAAAAATCACCATATTTCAACTCAATTTTACATAAAAATTGGCCAAACAATTTGAACGTTTGCTCAGTAGCTTTCACATCAGGTGTAACGTTAGAATTATCGCTGTAACTTTAGCTGTGTTAGCCAACGTTTACAACAACTCCGCACTTGAACATAATCTTATAATTATAAAAAACATAATAATTAAATATAATTCACAACCAATAAAGCATACTTACAGATTGTGATTGTGAATTTCCAGGCCCAAACACCGTCAGAGTTGCATCGTCTTTTAGGACTAAACCCAGAGATAGTACGTAGCTTGTCGTCATAGCGATGCCACACACAACTGCCGCAACGTAATGTTCAATGCGACACACACACCAGCGATCCACACAGCTCTCTCTTTTTTAAGTTAAAACGTTTCAACATTACTCAGAATGTAAAGACAGATAAGCGGTATGAAAACCTTCCAGTTGTGTTTTCCTCTGCCGTTGTTGCTGCACGAAAACTGTAAAATATAAAACTTTCTGTTGCTGGCCTCTGTCTGGTACACACAATGATGATGAAGTGAATAGTTAATATTCTCTCTGACCAATCAGCAGTCTGTCGTGCTTTCACGTTACATTTTAGTATCCCTCAGCTCGCTTGGAACCTCGATGGAGCTGAGGTGATACGAAAAAAAGTATCTGGAAGCAGGTACAGGTACATTTCTACAATGTAAAACCAAACAAAGGCGTGTTGAGCCAAGTCGAGCTGTTACTGTGCAGTGGAAAAGGGGCTTAACTAAAATCAAAGGGCCTCCGCTCAGACTAGCTTGGTTTGAGGGCGTGCCTGACCCCGCTAGCCGCTTGGCAAGCTTTATAACGCGTTTTCATTGTGACGTCACAGTGAAGGAAGGGAAACAGCTGGACTACAAAGGAGCTGTTTTCAGGCAGTTCAGAGCAGTGCTTTCTGTGGGAGATAGGAACTCCCTTTGGGCTGGACTTTGGGCTTTTTCACTTTGAAAACCTATTACATGCACAAAAAAGAGATATAACTCAATAAAGGAGAGGGGAAAAGCCAAAAAGCATAATACCACCTCTTTAAAAATTTTGTAATATCACTTAGAGCTCTGTTTAAAAAAACAAACTAAATCAGGTAAAATTTGATTCCTAAAACACAATGTTAGCTTTAATTAAAGTGTTAAATGATATTCTTACATTTATTCATACTAGCATAAATCATATCACAGGGCATTTCAGTATGTAAATGAAAATTATTTTTGTTGAAGGTCATGCAGTGATTCAAAGTTAATTTTGACCCAATTTTGTAATATAAAACACAGCCTTAAAAAAGGCTTCATATATTTATAATAGTTAATACAATTCCAAAAGGGCAACAGTGTATTTTAGAGGGACCAGCACTATCCATCTCTTTTATTGGTGTCACTGGGTTAAAGTTACCAATTGGAGCCTGAAGAAAATAAATATAACTGTTTCATTTTTATTTTTATATGATAGGATTTAGTGATTCATGTGGTAAGGTGCTGGAATTAAATCTCTTTTTTGATAGAGCACGGCTATGTTATATAAGTATATTCAGCAAAATGTAAGGGATAATCTTTTTCTTGCAACTTTTGCTTCATAGCAGAAGCTTCTTCAGTGGAATTTGCCATGAAAAGGCATTTGTATCTGATCAAACTGAATGTTAGGCAGCTCAGCCGTACTTCAATGCTTTGGGGCGAATGCTTGCAGACAGGAGGTCAGTTGCCTTTTGATGGAGGTTAGAAATATATCTACCGATGGGAATTTCAGTCAAGATATGCAAAAACGTGTTTGGAATAATTTTCAAAGTAAAATGTAAGTTCAGGATTTATGCCACGATTCAAAAAGACCTGCTTAAATCGATGAAATAGGAAGAAAATCCCAATATTTATGTTGCTATTAGATAAAAAATTTCATCAATTGTATTGCTCTTGGCATGGTAGGTACTTGGCAAATCCTTCAGATTTAATCAGGCTTTTATGTATCAACAATATAGTGAAGGATGACACTCACCCTTTGTTTAATGGGTTTAGAGTATTCAAAGTTTGTTCATTTACTATCCAGAAAAATAGGCTAATGCCTTTCTCATAGAACTACGGAGACCCATTATATCTAGACATTTGCTTCCAATTAGGACTTCCATATCTCTTAACTATTACTCAGTATCTCATAATAATGAGAATCCAGCATTACTTCTTGAACAAAACATTTTCAATATTCATATCCATATGTCATAATATAGTAATCACAGACACAAAAGATGCCAGGAAGCAAACTTCTGTCAGCAAACTGATAAGTGATTAGCCTACTCAGCTTGAAAAAAAGCATTGTGTCAATAAACAATCATTTCCATGCTTTTGTTCTTAGCAGCACCTCATTTTACTTTGTCTTTGCTATTGTGGGGACAAGAGTCACACAACAGAGGAATCTCAGAAACTGCATTCATGTCCTCTACTGACGTTTTTGCATGACTGGTAAAGACAAAGCTTCCTGGTACACCAAGACATATTTGTCACAGTTATTTGTGAATTACAATGGCACTTACAATGGCAACGCTCAAACTGGCAGTAAATGTTTCTTTCATCAATCTTCAAAACGAAAAATTATTTTGGCTCCTCCCTTTATCTTACATTTCAACATGGACATTTCAACCTGATTATTAGGCTAATCCCATATTGCCTTGAGAAGTGATTGATTGGCAACCAGTGGGACTTTGCAGCCCATTATTTTAGGACGTTAACAAGTTCTCTGACCTCCTGTGCAATGCTTACAAAAGATACAGATTGCCCGTATCACACACAGACCATTTTCATTATTTTCCCCATTTGGGGGAGCTTAATTGGAGTGCATTCTCAATAGGATGTGTTTGTACCTCTAATATTCACTTTAAGTGAGTATGGTAATTCTCCAATTCATCAAGGGGATATTTATGACTCTGGGAAATGTGTTGTCTTCCTTGGTGCTATGACTCATTTTCAGTATCTTCAGTTTCTGTCAACGAACAACTTAAGTCTCTGGCTTTTCCTGCTAGTACTAGTTTTTGTGCCTTCTAAGGCAGTCAGTTTTTCTAAAGATTAAATTTTTACCTTCAAGAGGTCTTCTTTCAGACCCTTTATTTAAGGGAATAGTTTGACATTTGGGAAATACACTTATTCACTTACTTGTCTCAAATGAGAAGATTGATACTACCCTCATGGCATTTGCCTTGAGGTGCTAGGCTGAGAGATACTGAATGAAGTTCAGATAAATGTACTCATAAATGTACTATACGTATTGTCACACTTGGCAGATGTCGTAAAACACAGTGTTTTGTCTGTAGATTTTACAACCTTCTGTCTAGAGAGTCTCTTTCTGCCTCTGTCTTTCGCTGACAACATCAGCCGGGAAGCCAAAGGCTGAATTCCATGGGAGGCAGAGAAACGACAAGATTTTAGACTGCATTTTGTCTAATATAAGACAATATAAAGTCAATATAAATTTAAATGGTAAAATGGTCTGTACTTGTATAGTGCCTTTCAAATCTTTGGGACCACTCAAAGCACTTTCTACTACATCACAGTCACCCCTTTCACACACTGATGGAGAGAGCCTAAGTGCCTTCACATCAGAAACTGAAATACACATTCACAATTTGGGGTATTTGTGTATCTTGCCCAAGGGTACGTCAACATGCAGGCAGTGATGAAACTATGACCTTCTGATAAGTAGAAGACTGCTCTACCCCCTGAGGTGCAGCCACCACATTGAACTATTTCTTTAAGTAAAAGTATAGTACTATAACGTAAGTCCTGCATTCAAAATGTTACTTTAGCATTAGCAAGGTGTACTTAAAGTGTCGTGTCAAAAGTAAAAGTTTCTTTTATGCAGAATGATCCCTTATAGAGTTTCTTATTCAAATATGTATTATTATTACTTTTATTCAAATATATATTATTATTGCTAGATCATTGATGCATTAACATACAGTATATATCAGCATTTTAATTTTATAGTAAATACTTTAACTACATTACATACTGTTCTGATAAATCTACAACAATGCATCATAAGTTGAAGATGTGTAGATATAAAATATACAAAGTAACCATAGCTGTCAGAAAATCATTAGTGGAGACTTTTGCAGCACACAAGAAAAATAAAGAAAGGGAGTTAGGGGAGGAAACATTTCATTAAGCTGTAGAATAATAAAGTAATAGATTAAAAAATAAACTCAGATCCCTGGAAGTAATAGAGGTAATGGAATATGTTCATTCTCTCCTGCACTTGGAAATGAAATGTTACACTCATCTATGAGGAGGAATAAAAGTAAATATGAACTGTAGAGTGCATAAAGATGGAGAGAAAAAAAATCACCAACGTTAGTGACAGAGAGCATAACAACACAATGATTGTGATTATGTGAAAGTTAGAAACAAATAAAATGAACGAGAATAGGAACATTGAGCTGACCCTGAAAGAAAAAACATCTTAGAAAAGAACATGGCCTATGATTGAAGGAGAGCCATCATGTTGATGCACTGAGGAAAAAAATGGAGAACCGCAGGGGAGAGACTGGCTGATTATTCTTTGCTTTACTGGGATCTGATCTAAAGATGTCCTCATAGGCACAAACAACATAGTCTGGGTCCTGACTCTCTCTCTTTCTCTCTCTCTCTCTCTCTCAGACACACACACACACACACACAGAGTCAGGTTCAACTTCAGAGGACTTCAATTAATTTCCTGTAGACTTACCCTAACCCTTACTCTAACCACCACTTGCCTAAAACCCTAACTCTCACCTTAACCTAAACCTAGTCTTTAATATAATGATTTATGTTACAGGGACTTTTTGCGTTTTTGTCCTCAAAAGAAAGGCGACCCCCCACAATATGTCTGTGTCAACAGATTGATGTCCCCACAACATGATTAATACACGCTCACTCACACACACACACACACACACATACTATTTGTATTCTCGTTGAAGAAATGGATAAAAGAGGTAAAGAGTAATTTCCCGTCTTGGCCTGTCAGGAGGCAGATCACATCAGTGGGCCAGGCCAACATGACTTCTTCTACCAGGACTCAGATAACCATCCCCGCCTCACACTATATTCATTTGTAAGCACATCTCTGCAGAGCGCCACATTTTTTTCTCAGTTATGATTGCAGATATTACATGCACATCAACAAACACGCTTTTATTACAGGTCCAGACTCTATTATGAGCACGGAGCAGTAATAACTTTTCATTCATCATAGAAAGGATATCTGAGAACAGACAGTAGCATGTATGTTTGTTTATTTCTAAATAATGTGTTTTGTCTTCCTACAGGCATATCAGTGAGCATATCCACATTTAGCCTGGTTGCCATAGCAATTGAGCGCTACAGCGCCATCTGTAACCCCTTGAAGTCACGGGTGTGGCAGACACGTTCACATGCCTATCGAGTTATTGCTGCTACATGGGTGCTGGCCTTCGTCATCATGATCCCCTATCCAATCATCAGTCACTTAGAGTCTTTTGAGCGTCCTGACAACACCACTGCTCACCAGTGTCGCCACAAGTGGCCCCTCGCAAAGGCAGAGCAGACCTGGTGAGTGTTTGGGTGTGTCCTTCAAGCAAGGAGTTACATGACTATGTTTATGTGCAACATGAGGAAAAACAATGTGGGTATGTATCAAACTTTAAACTTTAGATTAACTGCGGTGTGTGTGTGTGTGTGTGCTTTTAACAGGGCACACTACACTGAAACATCTCAATTACTTCCATGTTTAGACAAAGGGCCTGCGTGTGTTTTTGTTTTGGTCTTAGGATGGAACAGACTTTGGGGTAATTTCAGTCAGCTGTGTGTTTATCTGTGTGTATATGTGCACAGTTTAATATTTTATTGTTTGTATATTTTAATACTTTTGTGTTTGATTCTGTGTCTTCATCTGACATGGGTGTATAAATCTGTGCATGGGTCATTATCTTACTCACTTATCATGTGGATGAAAGACTTATTTGTCTGCTACATGATGAAAGAACTATATATACATATATTTTTTAAATTATTTTTTCTTTATTACAATGTGTTGTCCTGCAGACACTGAAGCTGCTTAAAAGGCTGGAACCTTGCATGGCATGGGTGTGTGAATGGACGAATAAGAGGCAAAATTTTAAAAGCACTTTGTCCATTAAGGTGGAAAAACACTACATACAGTTGCAGGAAAAAGTATGTGAACCCTTTGGAATTACCTGGATTTCTGCATAAATTGGTCATAAAATGTGTTCTGATCTTCATCTAAGTCACACCAATAGACAAATACAGTCTGCTAAACTAATACCACACAAACATTAACATGTTTTTATGTTTTTATTGAACACACCATGTAAACATTTATAATCTTGGGTGGAAAAAGTTTGTGAACCCATAGGCTAATGACTTCTCCAAAAGCTAATTAGAGTCAGAGTCCAATCAATGAGATGAGATTGTAGGTGTTGCTTAGAGCTGCCCTGCCCTTTAAAAAACAAACACCAATTTTAATTTTGCTATTCCCATGAAGCACTGCCTGATGTGAACCATGCCTCGAACAAAACAGCTCTCAGAAGACCTAAGATTAGGAATTGTTGACTTGCACAAAGCAAGAAAGGGTAAGAAAGGTATCCGAAAAGCCACGGTAAGACAAATTGTCTATGAATGGAGAAAGTTCAGAACTGTTGCTACTCTCCCTAGGAGTGGCCATCCTGCAAAGATGAGCACAGCGCGGAATGCTCAATGAGATTAAGAAGGATCAAAATTGAGCTGTTTGGAAAGAACATACAACCCCATGGAGGAAAAAAGACACAGCACACCAACATCAAAACCTCAATGAGGTTAAGAAGGATCCTAGAGTGTCAGCTGAAGACTTACAGAAATCTTTCGAACATGCTAAAATCTCTGTGGACAACTCTACAATACATCAAACACTAAACAAGAATAGATTTCATGGAAGTTTGCAAAAGAGCACCTGGATGTTCCACAGCACTACTGGCAAAATATTCTGTGGACAGATGAAACCAAAGTCAAGCTGTTTGGAACAAACATACAACCCTATGTATGGAGGAAAAAAGACACAGCACACCAACATCAAAAACTCATCCCAACTGTGAATTATGGTGGGGGGGCACTCATGGTTTGAGGAAAGAACATGGACTATGAATGAAGGAGACCGATCATGTCAATGCACTGTGGAAAAAATGGAAAAAGGGTCCATAATTCCTCCTTTGGTTGAGGTTATTCCTGCCGAAGGAGGATCAACCAGTTATTAAATTCAATGGTTTAGTACACTTTTTCCACCCTGCTCTGTGAATGTTTACATAGTGTGTTCAATAAAAACATGACAATATATAATTGTTTATGTGGTATTAGTTTAAGCAGACTGTATTTATCTATTGTTGTGACTGTGTGATGACCAATTTATGCAGAAATCAAGGTAATTACAAAGGGTTCACATGTTTTTTCCTGCTTCCTCCTTTTACCATTTACTATGCAGTAGTAGAGAAAGAGAGAGAGAGAATATAAGGGTCCGGGTCCAGGTTAGAACCAGGGACACTGTGGTTCACGGTTAACTCCTAAGCCACAGGGGTGCTCCATTAAAAAATATTTTATCCTATTTATTTTGTTTGAAAATTAAAAAAGTCAAATCAGTATACATTAAACTGAAGATGCAGAGTTTTTATTTTTATTCACATTGCAACTGGGCAAGGACATACTGTATGGATGCCATTTTTGTTTTGGATCAGAAAGGAATTGCAACTTGGGAATGGGTTTGAAAATCTTTCTTCCTTGAGGATTCCTCAGAATAGCAGTACATTTTGCTGAACGGCATTGTGAGTTTTTCAAAGATCATCAGGTATTTAGTTTTCTGCAAAAAACAAAACAATACTTAGCTCTGTGACTTGAATGTACAGGTAACGTTAATACATTAATATGTGAGAGGTACAAACTGGGGCTATGTGAGAGCCGTGCCTGCCTGCACCATTATGCTGCAAGATTTTTAACTTTTGTTTTGTCTGTGTGTCTTTCAGGTACATTCTGCTTCTACTTGTGCTGTTTGCAATCCCGGGGTTGGTGATGATTGTGGCCTATGGACTGATCTCCAGGGAACTTTATAGAGGTATCCGGTTTGAGATGGGCCACAAAAAAGACTCCACTGGTGAGGTCATGTATACTACATATGAAAAACATAAAGAAAATAGCATGGTAAAGCTATAATTAATGCAAGGTTTCAAATTTTCCCCAGTATGTTTAGGTTTTTTAAATAAAAAGCTCGCCATATGTTGTGCACCTGAAAATGGGGCCAGTAAAACAGGCAAAAAATATGAAATGAAAAATTGTAAAAGCAATACATATGATACGAAACCTTACAAATTGTGTCAAAAGCACAATTTAAAGTATTACATGTCATTCAATTTTAGACAACTAAAAACACGGGATGACCTTTAAACTGAAGAATGGTTTCAACTCTCCAAAGTTATTTTCCTACTACTACCTAGTACTTTTCTAAAGAAACAGGAGTCAAACCAACAATGGAACTAGCCTTTTAAATAAACAAAAATAAATAAAAATAAATAAATAAACTCTGGTTCCTATCATTACAGTAATGCAGTTACCTTAACATACACCAGAATAAAAATGGCACTGGTCACAAATCTCTGATTTAAAAGAATTCTATTGATGTCAGAATACTTTCAAAAGGGAAAACATCCTCGACTGTGCCTTTTTTTGCATTGACCTTTTCTGACCAGTTCATTACATTATTGGCTTGTTATTTCAATAATGTGGAAACAATGTGAATATATGTATATATATGAGTCTAATCATGGAGCAATCCACATTTTACTTCAATGATGTTTTGAATGCAATGTCATTTGAGTCAAATTGTCTGTTAATAAATGTCAACACACTATTCAGCACCTATCAACCAGACTCTAAGGTTAGCATTTACATTTTTCCCCCCACATGAGTTATGCGAATGATAAAGAATTTCATTAGCACTACAATCACTGTAATGTGTGCCGGCTAAGTGAAACATAACCTTCTGTGGGCATACGAGAGTGTGTCTGGAGTGATAGCAGCATGGAGTGTTTGCTGGTGCTCCATTAGAGGACGGAATTGGCTGGCAGCTGCAGGCCTGGACATCCCCATCTGTTTGGTCTCAGAGAGAAAGAGCATGAGAAACAAATAGCATGGGGTAAAAAACAAACAAGCAGGAAATTAGGGAAAAATGTGTTTGATTTAATAATCCAGGAGCGGTTTGGCAAATATATTCTCTCCACACTACCCGTTCCTGTTTGTATTTACTTGCCTTAGACCTCTTACTGTACTCAGTGTACTTTGTCCTTTGTAGAAGGAAAGTTGGACTATTACATTTTATCAATAAATTGAAATATCCCCTGATGGATGATTACTGTGTACTTCTTTCCATTGAGGTTAGCTGAACTTTGAGGTGCTATGATTTATTCGAAACAAACCAAACAGGTGCATGTGTTCTCACAGAGCTGTAGTGCTTTGACTTATTTGTTCATTTAAGATTAATTGGCTGCAGGACAACACATGATTTGCGGAAATATATTTTAACCCATTCGCAGAAATATAAGGTATGTGTTCTACTACAACATTTGGTTCAGATCCAATTCCAACTTTTTATTATTAAAGCGGCTAATGTATTGTCATGTAGGGGAGAGCCTTGTGTCAGGATGTATGAGATGTGTGTGCAAACAATAAGCATTTTGTTGAACTATTCTCTTAATTACATGTGTGTTAAAACACCAGACAGTTTTAATGGTAAGTTACTAATGTTAACTGTGTGAATTCTAATAAAGGAAAAAATATCAGAACGTGATCTGAAAGTGAGATGGATTTTGGTCTAAATGAGCAATCCGATGGACGCTAGTACCGACACTCAAAACAAAACTTGATATTGATAGTATTTATACTGTAGCTATCTATTGAGTATGGGGAGAATATCTGGCCCTGAACAACAAAGTAAGGTAAACGTGTCACAAAATAGAAACATTACTTTCATATGAGGGGTGTTTTAAATACAACTCTTAAGTATGATAAGTAATTATGCAACTCTATCTTGCAATTGTGACAAAAGAATTTCCCTTCGGGGATCAATAAAGTATTTCTGATTCTGATTCTGATTCTGTATACAACTCTTAAGTACTTTGTTACATATAATTTATACTTTTATACTCTTCTCTTTTTACTCTGCTCTCCCACACAGATGTGAAAAATGGTCTGACCTCAACTGTGTCAAGTGGCAGTGATGATGGAGATGGCTGCTATGTTAATGTGCAGCGGCCACAGTCGGTGGAGATGTCCACCATGGCTGCATCCGGCAGGGCAATCAAGGCAGAAAGACCACGCAGCAACACATCTGAGGCCAAGCTGGAGGCCAAGAAGCGAGTTATCCGTATGCTGGTGGTCATTGTTGTCCTGTTCTTTCTCTGCTGGATGCCACTGTACTGTGCCAACACGTGGCGGGCTTTCGATGACACCACTGCCAAACACGCCCTCTCGGGGGCACCCATTGCTTTTATCCATTTGCTGTGCTACACCTCTGCTTGCGTCAACCCAATTATTTATTGCTTTATGAACACACGTTTCCGCAAAGCTCTGCTTGCCACGTTCTCGTGCTGTGCTGCACCTTGCCATCGGCGTCACCGTGGGCTACGGGACAACGAGGAGGATGTTATGGCAACTGGTGCATCCATGTCCAAGTTTAGTTACACTACAGTCAGCACCATGGGAACCTGCTGAGGCAGAAGGTTGCAGGCACAATCCAGAAGAGACAGTTAATACAGCACCCCATATCCTTTATCTTTAGGCCAACTCTGTGCTCATAGGGACAGGAGATTGGAGTAGAAAAGCAGGCCATATAGTGTAGCAGTAGAGAAGCTTCACCCATGACCGGGAGTAAAATTATGTAGGAATAATTTAATGACACAGAATCTTACAGTGTAAATATACAGTTATCTCTTGTCACAGTGGACCAAGGCAAATAGTTTGCTTAGATGTTTACAGTGGGACATGTGTGTGTTTGTGTGTAGTGCAGAGGATGTGAGTGGTGGTAGGCTGTATAATATGTGAGGGAGGCAGTTTGATAACTTAGTAGTCATTATGTAGCTACTGTATAAAAATAGGAAGGCCATCTGATATGTCATTTTTTAACCGTGTTTTATATTTTTCAGTTGTTAATGTGTGTCTATGTTAATGATGGTAATGCAGTTGCCTTGTGGATTAAGTGCCTGGTTCTAAATACTACATTATATTTTTCTGAATGTGTATTTGCCTCATTCATCACGGGAAACCACAACCACAGGCAAATTGTGACCTGAAGGGTCTGGAAGTGGAGTTTAAAGACTCAAAAGATCTTCTAAACAAAACGTATAAATGAGTGGGTTGTCAGTTCTACATGGCGCGGCAGCTTACAGAAAACACTTAAGTGGTATAAACAGCTCAGAAGGGCAGTGGTGAAGCCTTGTTTTATGGTTGTATACTGCAATGCTTGGCATCTTTGTGTTTTTGAAATTTTTGGAGGCAGATTTTTCTGTGTATGCTAAAATGTTAGTTTGTATTGTGCCCTTGCAGATGAACACATAGCAAAGAGACTTGACACTTGGAATGGTGGTTCTTTCTCATATTAGGGCCTCTACTTTGAGGGCAGTACAAAATTGGCTGATAAGTATCCAGGACTTTTGGAGAACATCTGGGTAGGACGTGGTTAACCTTTGTCATGCTAAGATGGCTGTATAATAGTCTCAGATTGGTAATTGAGTGACAGAAAGATGACCGTGATTGTTAGTCACAAGTATACAGTGCTTACTGACGACAAAACAAATGATTTGAATATACCCAGCTAAATATTTTACTCATAATGACATCAAACATGAGGTTAGGCTAAAACAATGTATGACATTATGTTAATTCTGTTGTACAGTAGCTTGTACGGACAGTAAATGTTAATATATGTGTATATATTTGTCACCATGCAACAGTATGGAAGAAGGTTTTATGAAAAGTAAGTTCATGGCAGCCTTACAGTCAGTTTTAAAAGAGGCAACAAGAGGATCAAGTAACTGCAGTATATAAAAAAGTTCAGTTATTGTTCAGTGACTTGCAGTCCCTGTTGAGCTCACCTGCAGGCTTCAAAATGGCAGCCAGGTTTCGAAGGTCTCTGTTTGCCAGGCCTTGTCTAGCATGCCTGACTCTGGCTCCCCTGCTCACCTCGCACTAATTGTGTTACAAGCTCAACCCTGCCAGGCTGAATGGAAAATCATATTTCACCAAGTGCACCAAAGCACAGTGCTGTCCATCTCACAACTAAAAGCCTTCGTGAACATATTTTGGAAGATTCTAGATCGGCCTGCAGCTTTATTGGCTTATTGTGTGCACTGTTCCCTTTTGTTTAAATATGAATAATAGTGATGGGTTACTGTGGGAAAACTACAGTAAGACTTTCATCAGCTGAAACCTCAATCTGAGCAAATAACAATCTCATCAACACATGAAGACTAGGACACAAACATCTTACACTTACATGCATCCAGTTCATGTCCAGTGTAGAGAGGAGGACAACATGATAGCCAGAACTTTCCCCTTGTCTCACTGTAAAGAATCAAGCTGTATCATCTTTCAAGCACACACTCAATTCAAAATGCTGATCTCACAATCTTATTATGGAACCACAGAACAGCAGACATTTCTTGCTGTGTATTAGGTTCTCCTGCAGGAAACAGCAGACAGGAGTGTTTATGAGTCTGCCAGCAGCATTTTCCAGATAGAGAAAAACTGTCCCACAGCCGTCTGTGTTGTTGTTTATGAGTGACGCTTGGAAAGTGTTTTTTTATGGAGTGCTGTGAGAGGCTGATTTCCCTGTGGTGTCACAGAGGCTGTTTGACGTTATGACTTGCGCCGCAATCCACCCCACCTCATCCAGTTGCCACAAACACACACACATACACACAAAGAACTCCAACAGTTTTTTTATACACTTGCTCTTAACCAGTTACTGGCAGATGCCAATTATTAGTTTTTTCCCCTTCTCAAAATTAATACTGGCCATGAAGATCAAAGTAAGCAAAAAGCACTTATGTATGGATACATGTCAATGTGAACAGAAGTACTAAATGTTACTGTAAATGTCTTCTGTTTAAAAATGTCACACTGATGATCATTTTCACAAGCCTCATATTACATGCAACATGTATTCTTCAATCAGAAATGATGATGGCAAAAAAAATGCTTTTGTCAAAATCACACAAACAGGAAAGTCATGCATTAAAGAATTTGACCTGGTCAAGGGACTAATGTGTTCAGATATTATTTAAATGTAGGTTAAAGAGACATGGTAAAATGTGACAATTGAATTACACGGTCAAATCTATCCTTCACCATATCTGCAGATAGTGTTGTCTATAGACCTTCATGCTGAGCATGGCAATCTTGCAGGTTTAGCAAGATAAATGAGACACTTCAGGTAAAAGTACAAACATGCTATTGTAAATGCCTGTTGCTAATACTACATGGAGTTATGTAAACTGAGGTTCAGAAACAGGACCAGGCCTCTCTCACTTATTCAACCACCTGCGCTTTATTTAATTCCTCCAATCAACCACCCGTGCTTCACTCATTTCATTCACCTGTGCCTCTCGAATTCAATCACATGCACTCATGTACTGTATATAAGCTGTCTAACCTGTTTTCTTTCCCGTTTCTCAGTTCTCACGACCATCAGTTCAGACTCAGACACACACTGAAGTTTCTCAAAAGTACTTGCTTACCTTAACACAGATCACGAGCTGATTCTCAGCCCCTCTAACCAATATCGATCAATACGACGATCAGCCCACGGTCTCTAATCTCCTCCGTCCATAGTTAATTCCACTCCCACGCGGCCAGCTACTTGTCCACCGCAACAGCGCTCCGTTATCCAAGTTGTCAAGAGGGCATCGTCCAATATTGTTTATCCAGCAGCTGTCCGACCCCACAGAACACACACAGGCCACAGCACCCACAGCTGACTTCCAGACGCCGACTTCCGACCGGCCGCACACTGGTCAACCCGATTACGGCTCTGTCCAATGCCAGATCCATTTTCGACCAGACAGTCGTCTGCCTCCACTCAAGGAAAGATAACTTTCCACCAAAGGTTTTCCAGTTTACCCAGCCACCTCCAGCAGGCCGCTCATTTCCGCATTCCCGATGCAGTGCCACACGCAGTTCGGCGGCACAGGGTTCTTTACATACCATATCCATTTTGCTTCCGAGGCTGCATGCTTCTTCCGCCTCAAAGTGCAAACTCCGGACCTCATGCATAGGCATTCTCAATGCGCCCCACCTCATCCACTGCTGTCATGCCAGCATCTCCGCTGCCCCCTCTCACATGAGAGCCCTGCATAGTCAACACCAGAACCTGCCACCCCCATGGCCCTACCCAGCACAGTTATGGCTGTGCACAGATACCCCAGACTATGTCTTATCCACGCCTTAAATATGCTCTGAAGACAGTTCAGCTGCCAGTTCGTTCACCTCCACTCCTGGTTCCAGCCAGACAGTGAGGCTATCCCAGATCAGAATCAGAAGAAGCTTTATTATCTAGTAGTGTTTTACACACACAAGGATTGCTTTGGCGATAAGGTGCTACATGTTGACAACCATACAGCTGACATAAATATATGTAGAAATATATACATACAGAATGAACAACGACTTCCTCCCCTTTCCCAATCAACCGCACCAGCCATCAGTATCACCACCAGGACTTACCACAGCATAGGCTCATCTCTCTTCCCCCCTGGCACCACAATGCCAAGCACCAATTGCCCAGTCCTCAGTCCCATATTCCAAACACCATGCAACCCACCCACATGACACCAACCTTAGCCTTCTTGCTGGCCAACGCACGTTTGGCTCAATCTTCCTTCTTTGAGCATTTCTTAGAATGGTCTATTTTACTCAGTCAGCCCAACATTGGGCGCTAGAGCAGTCCCAGGTATTTAATCCACTCCCTTCCCAAGCTCACATTTCTCCGTACATTCCAAACTATCTTCCCTACTGTTGCACTGTTGTACCAAGCACCTATTTCTCTCTCTCTCCATCAGACACCTAAACTCCCCCATCCGCATCATCCCACTTAGCGCTACTATTTGCCGCGACTTCCTTTCTTCTTGGAAAGGCATTCCTTTCTCTACGAAAACCACATAGCCCAAACCGAAGACATCACATTATACTGAGGCAGAACCCTCACCAGTCTCAGAGGCCGCGGAGGCGATGCTCACATCCAACCAGCCGCCGGAATAGTCCTCTCCTTCCTCCACCCTTTCGAACCACATCAGATTACCACCGCTGCCATTTCTTGGGGGCACGAGGTCCAGCCATCCTGGTACACACAGACAACCACCACTACATCACCAGGCCGCTCCACAACACCCACTTTTACCACTGAATCAGGCAGAACCGTCTCATGCTCCTGCTCGCCATCTCAACCCATGTAATTCAAGATTCTTCGGACCCGTACTCCGGTCACTCTAACCCCATCGGGGACTAGACCACACTGCCGAATTCTCAGCTGCCGCTCTTCCCATGCCTACCATAGCTACGTCCACAACAACGAACCAATTTCCGTTCCGCAATTCTTTTGGGGGTTCATAAGACCTAGCCGCTCATCGAGACGAAACCCCACCCTGAATCTCACACCTCGGCTTCCTAGCCGCTCCGGCCACCAAACCCTAAACAACCTCCTCGACCCCTTCATCCCTCCATCCTCTACCCCTTGATCCCTCTTCTCTCGACCCCTTCATCCCTATTTTATCGACCCTTTCATCCCTCTTTTCTCGACCCCTTTTCATCCCTCCCCTCTCGACCCCTCCTCATCCCTCGCCCCTCTCGACCCCTCCTTTCATAACTATTCATCATATCAATAAACCACTATAAAATCTAACATTTGGCGTGGTCCTTGTTAGTGAATATTCATTTTAAGAGAGGTAAAATTGCCTCTACCACAAATTTTGTATACTGTTTTCTTATCACTATCAGGGACCTTTCTCACATTCACAAAAGTAACCAATCATGTTCAGTCAAGATAATGAGGTGGCCTTTATAAAGTCAAACCCTCAGGCATTCTTTTTTTATTTTGTCATTATGCCCCTGCTGATTGATTTCTCCCTCCGACACTCAGGTCATCCCCCCCGTTCTATTCTTATTAAAATGCTTGACGATGGCATCTCCTACCTTTAGCATTTTGTGAGCTCATATCTCAAAGATATATCTGCTGCG